AAGGCCTTAGGGCCAGGGCTGAGGTATGTCAGCAGGGGATTAGCCCCCCCGGCCCAAGCCCAGCTGGGCTAATAAGCCGCCTGGGGGTAAGGTAGCCAAGGAGCAGCCTCTTGCTGCTGTGGTTGCCACCGTTGCTGTGCCAGGGCCGAAGCAAAGGGCCTTGAACTAACAGCTGGGCGTTATCCTTCCGCCTCCCAGGGTGTTGGTATGGCCAGCCCCCGGCCTCCCAAATACCTCCTCGTCTTCGATTTTGACGAGACCATCATCAATGAGAACAGCGATGACTCCATCGTCCGGGCGGCGCCGGGGCAGGCGCTTCCGGAGCACATCCGACAGACCTTCCGCGAAGGCTTCTACAACGAGTACATGCAGCGCGTCCTGGCGTACATGGGGGACCAGGGGGTCAAGATGGGGGACTTCAAGACAGTCTATGAGAACATCCCCCTTTCCCCAGGCATGCCAGACCTCTTCCAGTTCCTCTCCAAGAACCACGAGCTCTTCGAGATCATCCTCATCTCTGATGCCAACATGTTCGGCATCGAGTGCAGTCTGAGGGCAGCCGGTGTCTACTCCCTCTTCCGCAAGATCTTCAGCAACCCGTCCGGCTTTGACAAGAAGGGGTACTTCACCTTGGGGCCCTACCACAGCCACAAGTGCCTTGGCCCCTCCCCCAGCCACAAGTGCCTTGACTGCCCGGCCAACATGTGCAAACGCAAAATCCTAACGGAGTACCTGGCGGAGAGGGCCCAGGAGGAGGTGGAATTCGAGAGGGTCTTCTACGTGGGAGATGGGGCCAATGACTTCTGCCCTTCTGTGACTTTGACTTCAGCTGATGTGGCTTTCCCACGGAAGGGCTACCCCATGCACCGGATGACCCAAGAGATGGAGAAGAAGCAGCCTGGAGCCTTCCAGGCCACTGTTGTCCCCTGGGAGTCAGCTGCAGAAGTCGCCCGCTATCTCCAGGAGGTCCTCAAGAAGAAGTGTTGAGGAGGGCTCGGAAGAGACTTGCTTACCATAAACAGCTGGGAAAGGAGAAGCTGGGGGCGGGGGGGCACGTCCTGTACCCCCGTTCATCGGCACTGCCCGCTCAGCCCCCGCTCCTGGGTTGCTTTCCTGCCTTTCCTCTCCGAGCTCCTTTCTCCTGGTGATTAAAGCACTTTCTCTAGGTCCCCCCTTCTCCTTCCCCTGCCATGTTGAAACAAAGCCTTCTCTATGCAGCTCGGACACCTGCCCGGTGGGTCTTTGGCAACACTAATGGTGATTTTTTTTTGTTGGTGGTGATGGTTTGGTTTTTTTTCTTTCCCTTTTGACTTCACAAGAGGGATTCCTAAAAGAGCGGAAGCCGGCTCCCCGCGGGCTGGGCCCCGCACATGCTTCCTCCCGCCTTCAT